GAGACTTTGGCTTCCATTTTTCATTGTTGTTTTTTCCTTTTTTTTTAATCTTTCAGAGAGAAATAAAGGGACTTCCTCTAGCATGATAAAGTCTCATAAGAGGCCTGGCCTATAATCCTAGCACTTTGGGAGGCTAACGCAGGAAGATCACTTGAGGTCAGAAGTTTGAGACCAGCTTCAAGACCAAGAGCAAAAGCACATCTCTGTAAAAAATGGAAAAATTAGCCAGGCGTGGTAGCATGTGCTTCTGCCTAAAAGTCTGAGGTTGCTGTGAGCGATGACACCACTGCCCTCTAGCTGGGACAACAGAGTGGTACTCTGCCTCAAAGAAAAAAAAAAGCATCTTGTTTTGAACTCAGAAATCAAGAGTATTCACAGTGAAGAAAACATGAGCATCACTCTTCTAAGGAGTAGTAAAAACCAAAAACAAAACAAAATCACTTTTATGTTGTCATCCCTTCCTTCAGTACATTATTTGGAACGCTGGAACTCTTCCTGGTCAACGAAATAAGGTGAGGAAAAGAAATGAGGATAAACGTAGACATGAAAAGTTACCGAAAAAGTTATTCTTTACAAATACAACTACATGTTAAGAGAATTGAAAATAAAAACAATAACACCATCAAGAAAGTGGAAAGAGAACCCACAAAATCAGAGAAAATCATATAGCTAATGATTTGTACATAGAATATGTAAAGAACTCTTACAACTCAACAATGAAAAACCAAATAACCTAATTTAAAAATCAGCAAAGGATATAAACAGACATTTCTTAAACGAAGACATATAAATGGTCAATTAAGGCATTCAAAATTCTGAATGTTATTAGTCATTAAGAAAATGCAAATCAAAACCACAATGAGATATTGTGATTGCATCTGAGTCCTTTGCAGATAATTGTGTTTAGATGAGGTCAGAAGGGCAGAGGCCCCATGATGGGATTAATGTTCTTATAAGAAGATAAGAGACTAGAGCTCTCTCTCTCTGCCATGTGAGTACACAGCCAGTAGAGGCTAACAACAAACCAGGAAGAGAGTCTGTACTAAGAACCTGACCAGGCTGGCACCAAGAACTCAGACTTCTAGCCTCTATACTATGAAAAATAAATGTTTGTTGTTTAAGCCATCCAGTCTCTGACGTTTGTCACAGCAGTCCAAGGTGACAGAGACAACAAATATTCACAGTAGCGTTACCCACAGTAGCTGAAAGGTGGAAGCAACCCAATGTCCATCCCTGGGTCAATGAGTGAATAAAAAGTGGTATATACATAGCATGGAATATTATTCAACCTTAAAAAGTAAGGAAATTCTGACATACACTATAAAACAGGTAAACTTTGAAGATATTACATTAAGTGAAATAAGTTAGTCATGAAAATACAAATAATGTACTATTTCAGTTTTGCAAAATGAAAAAGTTCTGGAGATTGGTTGCACACAATGTAAACATACTTAACACTAATGAACTCTACACTTAAAAATGGTTAAGATGGTAAATCTGATGTTATATGTACTTTGTCACAATTTCTGAAAATTAAAAGAAAGGGGGCCAGGGGCAGTGGCTCATGCCTATAATTCTAGCACTCTGAGACTGCAAGGCAAGAAGATTGATTGAGGCCAGAAGTTCAAGACCAGCCTCAACAAGGGTAAGACCCCACCTCTACAAAAAAATATAAAAATTATCCAGGTGTGGTGGTGTGTACCTGTAGTCCCACCTACTTGAAGGCTGAGGCAGGATACTAGGAGGCAGAGGCAGGAGGAACACTCAAGCCTGGAGGGGCTGCAGTGAGGTACGATTACACCACTACACTCTGGCCTGCGCAACAGAGCAAGACCCTACCTCAAAAAATAAATAAATAAGAAAGAAAACTGGTACATTTTAGTACAAATATTACAAAGGACAAGAATGTCATTTTATGATGACAAATGGATCACTTCATCAAGAGGAAATAATAATCCTCAACATTTATACATAGTATACCTAATAACAAAGCTTCAAAAATACACAAAGCCAAAATTGATAAAATCCCAAGAAGAAATAAACCCATGCTTATAATTGTAGATTTTATCATCTGCTCTTGATAATTAATAGAACAAGTAGTCATACAATAAATTAGGATATGAGAACGTGAACAACACTATCAACCAACTCTAAATGACATTTATAGAATATCCTACCCAACAACAGAACCCGCTTTGTTTTGAAGTGTGCATGGGAATTTACCAAGATAGGCCATATTCTGTTTCTAAAACAAATAGTAATATAACAATTTTAATGGATTCAAATAATAGAAAATATTATCTCTAGCCACAATGGAATTTAATTAGAAAGCAGTAGAAAACTAGTGATATCTAAGACTCAAAATATTATATAATGTATGATTTCATTACACGGTTTAATGTTCTGCAACTATGGAGACCAAAATGTGACCAGGGGCTGCCAGGAATTCACCAAAGGGGTTAATAACAATGGGACAAGTAGGAATTTTAGGAGGTGATCAAACTCTTTTATATCTTCATTGTGGTGGTATACATTTGTCAAAACTCAGAGAAATGTACACTAAAAAGTATGAATTTGTTGTACATAAATTATAGCTTAATTTTTAAAATGAAAGAAAATGTCTAAATATTCAATTATGTAAATAATTGGAAACTACAGAGAATGAGAAAACTTCATTTACACAAGCAAGAAAAATCCCAAATTTAACAAGAAATGTTGTTTTATGTAAAGATAAGGCATCCTTTTCTTTTTTTTTGACAGTCTCGCTTTGTCACCCTGGGTAGAGTGCTCTGGTGTCATAGTTCACAGCAACCTCAAACTCCTGGGCTCAATCAGTTCTCTTGCCTTAGCCTCCTGAGTAGCTGAGATTACAGGTACCCAGCTAATTTTAGAGATGGGGTCTTGCTCTCCAACTCTTGAGCTCAGGCAAACCACCCGCCTTGGCCTCCCAGAGTGCTAGGATTACAGGCGTGAGCCACCATGCCTGGCCCACATCCTTTTTTGTTTGTTTGTTTTTTGTTTTTATAGAGAATTGTGAGTTCTTTAATTAAACTGGCATTCCTAACAACATGCTATATTATAAATGTCATTTTTTGCGTTTCCTAAAGGGTCATGCCAACCAAGATAAGGGAGAGTTAGGGTTGTATACACAGGTAAGAAACAGGTTTAAGAGTTCAATTTCAAGACAGAAAAGATTGCCCTGGCACAGAGAGATTCCAATTGCAAAAGTCTAGACCTGAGGGAGTAACAAAAGTAGAGTACATATGAGGTGGAAGCGGCTAGAGAGCTGAATGGAGACAGGTAAGATAGAAATGGCTGGTCAGAAAACAAAGCAGGTTATTTTATAGATCTGAGAGCTGCCTCATTCTCTCCCTCCCACCAACCATCGGGTCAGGGCTTCCCAGGAGCTCCTGCCTTTGTTGCCCGGGCCAGCTGGAACTCTTGCTGTAGCTGAGCAAGGGTTTCCCACTGTTGCTCTGACTGCCATTCAAAGTCCTGGAGCTGGAATTCACATCGCTTAATTTCATCTGTGATATACTCCAGCCTCTTCTCCGCTCTGGCTCGAGCCTCCCCCAGCGCCTGTTTGGCCAGCACAGGACCCAGAAGTTTAAAGACCACGTTGGACATATCCGGCGAGTCCAGTCCCTCCATCACGGTATTATTTTCTGTTAGTTGTGCCTCAAGCTTCTGCCTCCATGATATGGCTTTACTCAAGTCCTTCTGTAGCTGTTGGTATTTCTCCACTTGTCTCTGCAGCTTCTTCTGGATCAGCTCAGCCATGGCGGCGATGAAAGCCTACTCACGTTCTCCCTTCAATATTAATCCACATCCTTTGTTTTGGTTAGAACATCTCAACACCACCTCAGGGTGTCAGGTCTCTGTAATTTAATTTATAAATTTAATGTGATCCAAATAAAAATTCCAATGAGCTTTCTTTTTTAACACTGATCATAAATCAGAAGAGTTCAAAGGAAAAATTAAAAAAGAATAGCTAGGAAAACACTGAGATGGGAGCACTCCAGCGGTACAAGCTCTGACATCCAAGCATCCTGCAGGTCCCAGTGGCTCAGCCTGTAATCCCAGCATTTGGGGCAGCCAAGGTGGGAGTGTCACTTGAGGCCAGCAGTTTGACACTGGCCAAGGCAACAGTGAGACCCTGTCTGTACAAAATTAAAAATGAAAAACACTTCACGAGGGCACTTCAGCCTAGGTAATGGAGTGAGACTCTGTCTCCAAACAAAAAAATAAAGTACTACAAAGTCTCTCTAAAGGGGATGAAATAAACAGGTGGATAGAATAAAACAGAAGGTCCAGAAATAGCCTAACTACATACCTATTTCAAGTTACTGGGGCAGTGATAACGTTTTTCATAAATCTCATTGGGAAAACTGATACCCATTTGGAAAAAAGATAAAATTAGATCCGTCCCTCAAACCACACATAAGAACAAACTCTAAATGTATTAGAGATTTAAATATTAAAAAATAAATCAGTGCAAGTACTAGAAGAAAGCATGAGTGAACTTCTCCATAACTTGGGTATGGGGCAAAGCAGGAGTAAAAGTTACATATTAAAATATGTAATATAAAGATGTAATAAAAAAACTCGTGAATTTTACTATATAAAATGAAACCGTTTGAGTGTCAAAGAAAGCCACCATATCCAAAACTAGAAGGAAATATTCATAACACATATCACACACAGATAAAGGACTAATAAATATCTCTAATTTACAAAGAGCTTAAAAACTTTTCTTAAAAAAGCAGATCCACCTAACCGAGACAACTTTTAAAATTTGAGAGGGGGGATAAAAGACAACAACTGCTTTGGAAAACGATGCCCGGCACAGCACTCTCTTTCCGGACAGGCAGCCCCGAGTCAGCGTGTCTGCCAGGCCTGGGGTCACCGCGCCTGCTCCGGCTTCAAGGTCTCGCAGGCACCTGGAGCCTGGTGGGGCAGTCCGGGCACCCTCTCCACGCGCCGCCCCTCCTGCCTCTCACCATCCTCCCGGAGGAAGAGCGCCAGGAAGAATCTCCCCGGCTCCTGCTGGCCCTCACACTCCCAGCCTCGCGATCTAGTCCGGCTCTGGAAGTGCTCCTGCACTCGGTGTGGAAGTTCGTCTGGGGGACCTGAGGCCCCCAACTCTTAGACCCGCGGCAGGAAGGAGCCCGGCGTAGCCACCCTCCTGTTCTGCTAGTTCCCTGGGACTGCCAGGGCAGCCCCACCCAGCGGACTTATTATGTCTTGAGTTTCTTTCGCTTTCTTTTCTGTGAAAACGGCTTCAGCTAAAGGTTGGGTTCCTGTTCTAGAGGTTGCAAACAGCTGCCCCAAGACTATTGCCATTTTGGGAAAAGTGTTATTGCCAAATTATGGGTCACAGTCTTGGGCTCTGCAATTTATTAATTTATTACCTCAGTCAATTGCATCTGTACAAAGGGCACAGCTGTAACTACTTCATGGCATGGTGGTGCTGGATTAAGCGAGAAAGGCTGTAGAATGCCTGGCACAGTATTAGTTTCCTTTTCTGCTGGGCATTCCATTATCACATGCTACACACCCATTTTTAGAAAAATACACTGGGTTCTCTGTGCCCCACAAGACAGGGCTGTAATCAAGTTCCTCTCTGGCTTGATAAGACATTATTTTAGGGCCGTGCCTATGGCTCAAAGGAGTAGGGTGCTGGCCCCATATGCCAGAGGTGGTGGGTTCAAACCCAGCCCCAGCCAGAAACTGCAAAAAAAAAAAAAAAGAAAAAAAAGACATTATTTTAATTTAATTCAACCAACCTACATGGAAGGTCCTTGATCTGCTTGACACTGTGTTAAGATTATAAAGATGAGGACTGTGGCCTGGGGGAGGTGAATGGTTTTCCCCAGAGGGCCAAAGGTTGCCTTGGCCAGCTGGGCCAAGGCTGCTCCTTCTCCTCCCTGGCCATGGAGTTCACACTCAAGGCCTTCTGCTGCATGCAGTCGTTGCTGCTCAGTGCTATGCTCATCTTCTTTGTCATCTGGCACATTATAATAGCATTTGATGAGCTGAAGACTAATTACAAGAATCCCACAGACCAGTGTAATACCCGGAATCCCCTTGCACTTCCAGAGTAGCTCATGCATGCTTACTTCTGTGTCATGTTTCTTTGTGCAGCAGAGTGGCTTACACTGGGTCTCAACGTGCCCCTTTTGGCATGTCATATTTGGAGGTCTATGAATAGACCAGTGATGAGTGGACCAGGACTCTATGACCCCATGACCATCATGAATGAAGATATTCTACCATATTATCAGAAAGAAGGATGGTGCAAACTAGCTTTCTATCTTCTATCTTTCTTTACTACCTATATGGTATGATCTATGTTCTGGTGAGCTCTTAGAACAACACACAGAATAATTGGTCCAGTTAAGTGCTTGCGAAAAGTCACCAAATAAAAAGATTTTATCCAGCAAGATCCTGTTTCCCAGAGTAGCCTATGAAATCTGATCAGTTACTTAAAAAATTGATTCTTGGGGGTGGCGCCTGTGGCTCAAAGAAGTAGAGCGCCGGCCCCATATGCCAGAGGTGGTGGGTTCAAACCTAGCCCCCACCAAAAACCACGCAAAAAAAAAAAAAAAAAGTGATTAAAAAAAATGATTCTTGGGCCTAGTGAGTGGTTCACACCTGTAATCCTAGCACTCTGGGAAGCCAAGGCAGTGGATTGCCTGAGCTCATGAGTTTGGGACCAGCCTGAGTAACAGCAAGACCCCGTCTCTACTAAAAGTAGGAAAAAAAAAAAAAAAGCTGGGCATTGTGGAAGGCAGCTGTAGTCAGGAGGCAGAGGCAAGAGGAGCACTGGAGCCCAAGAGTTTGAGGTTGCTGTGAATTATGACATCACTGCACTGTACTCTACTCAGGGTGACAGAGTGAGACTCTGCCTCAAAAAAAAAGAAAAGACTTCTTATATTTTAAATGTTTCCACACGTTTTGCTTTGGAGAGACTATTTTCGTATGTTATACTGGGATAAAAAATTTAAATGGAATTACATATAAATTAATATAAAGAATTACCTTTGATATTGGCAGCTTTAAAGTTGCACTCCTTAAGGAACAGCCCCAATGACTACATTGATCACTGACTGTCCTTATTCTATTGGAAGCTCTTGTTTATCTTGCAGGGCTCATTTTAGTTTTATTGAAATGACATCTAGTAATAAATCAATTATAAATACCAGGTGCTTTGCTGAGCTGGCACGTGTTCCTGACATGGGAAACTTCAGGAGTTTCTTCATTGCTCGTGGCGATGATCATATATAGGCACATTTACAAGAACAGGAGTGGGATTTTTTTCCCTTTGACTTGAATATTATCCCTGCATATTGCATGAATGAGAGATTTCCTGTATTTCCACCAGAGTAATGAATCTACTTACTTAAATTCTAAGCATAAGTGAACATGATATAAAAATATGCTGAATCACTTATAAAGAATGCATTTATAGCTATTTTGAATGTGTTTTTATTGGTAAGCCATTGCTTATTAAGAACTTCATTATTAGAACTTACTGTTCTACTATGGTGGTAAAGGTATTTTTTTTTAAAGATTATTTTCTTCTGTCTTTTTTAAAGATTAATTTTAAAGATTAATTAAAGATTATTTATTTTAAAATCGTTTTTCTTTTTGCGATGGGTGGAGTCAGACAGGGACCTGTCCTGCCCAGCGCTGGATAAAGGTGTTCTAAGAATTTGCAAGTACTTTAGATTTTCAAAACTGATTGAGAAAGAAAACTGTATAACTATCCTACTTTTCCCTTAGTAAAATACAACAAAACTCTGAAATTAAGATTTAAAAAAAAAGATGAAGTAGACACAGATCCCTTCTCTTTGGGGTGAGGGTGGAAGTGAGGGCACCAAGAAAGGAAACAGAGATTAATACAGCTATTTGTACCACAGAAGGTCTGGGTAGGACATAGATGATATACCCAAAATGGGCAACTGAAGAGAATTTTAAGGATTTATGAAGCAGTCCCAGCCTTGCCTTTCCATCTAGGCAGAAGGCGAAAGGGAGGGATACCTGGTAAGAGCTATACCCACCAGAAAGTGCCCTGGGGCAGAGCCCTGGCTACAGAGACAACCTCAACCACTGTCTCCTCCTACCCTTTAATACTGGCTGGTGCCTTCCCTTGTGGAACCCAAATAGCAATGAGAGAATGGAGATGATGCAGTCACAGGGGTCCTCAAACTTTTTAAACAGGGGGCCAGTTCACTGTTCCTCAGACCGTTGGAGGACCGGACTGCGGGCCCCGGGATGAATCAGCTGCTAAGCGGGACAGGCAGCAGCGGCAAAAACACCTGGTGGGCAGGATAAATGTCCTAGGTGGGCCACATGTGGCCCACAGGCCGTAGTTTGAGGATGCCTGACTTACAGGGTCAATGCCTGTACCACCTCCAAGGCAGACAGCAGGGTAAGTGGATTTTGATATTACATCTGCATTGAGATACACATAAAGTATTAGGACAACAGGGAAATCAATGCTTCGTTGTAATTTGAAGATTGAAGGAAAGTTCCTGTAGTAGTGGCTTTTGAGATATCAAATGAAGAATAGGAGATTTCTAAGTGAAGAATGAGGATGAAGTGTGTTTCTCTCTCTCTGGATTTAAGGAGCGTATATTCCTCTGTTGGGTTACTAGCAACCTGGTCAGGCAACACAAATTTATTAAGCACTGCTATAATTGGGTTTGTTTGGCTCTGGCTCCAAATTTCACGTTGCAATTTGATCCCCAGTATTGGAGGTGGAGCCTAATGGGTGATGTTTGGGTCTCTGGAGAGAAAGCACAGAAAAAATGAAAAGTACGGACTACTTTGAAAAGTGGATAGTCTAGTGTGACTGGACTATCGGGGCTTCGTGATGAGGAAGGGACATACAGTAAGCAAAGCAGAATGAGAAATATCTGATGTCTGTGTTGTGGAGTTTAAACTCTATTTTTTAGGCCAGTAGTTCCCCAAATGCGATCCCCAGGTCAGCCGCGTCAGGCTCCTCAGTAAGCAGTAGCTCAGCACTGCACTGCATCTTACTCTGCCTCACTTCCCTTTTATTTATCCTTGGACTTGTACTCCCAAATGGTTAATATCTTAAGGCTTTGTCTCAAGCTCTGTGATTTAGATTCGATCAATAAAAATGACTTAATTGTTAAAAAAGGAAATCAAACCAAAAACGTACTAAACTATTCAGATAAGTATAAGGAAGTCCAATAAAGGTCTGATTTTTCTCCTAATGACTACTTCAATGCTATTTTTAGAGAAACATCGACTATCTCAGTGTTATTTTTCAATTTTCTTTTTTCTTTGCAAAGGAAGGTGACTCTAATCTGCTGGTGCTCATGGAGTTCTCTGGGTAATTCAGCCCTGAGGCTGGAGAGGTAAAACAAACTCTAGGAGCAGGCCAAGGCAAGTCTAGCTTGGTAAGGTATTGCATATGCTTTCTCTACAGAGAGTGAAAAGATGAAATGAAATCTGAAGCCTACTTTTATCTTTGCTGTAACCTATGTTATAAAAGAAAAAATATTGAGAAATGTGACTTTTACAGTTAAAACTGGTAGCAGTGAACTCAAGAATAGTTCGTTTCTACTGTGATAATATGTAGTAAGCTGCTATATACAAAAATCAATAGATGTCCATGCACATAGTATACAATTGTATATTGTGTTACAGGAAATCCCCAACCTAATGAAAGAGAAAAAAGGAGTAGGGTAAACAATACAAATAATCTGTTCCAAATATGGGTTTAACTTTATTTAAAGCAGATGCAGATGGTAACACCTTCCAAAAAGCAAAAGCAGTAATCCAAATGCTTAACAACCATGCTCACCATAGAACTTGCACACATGCACATACACTGTAATCCAGGATCCACAATCTAGTAGAAACCAAAATTTGCCTCTTTGGATTGAGATAAAAGATTAGTAGATAGAAAATAATCAAGTACAATAGTAAATCGTCCAATGAATCACCAAAAATTAAATGTATAATCTGTTTTCTCTTTAAAAAGGCATATCACTTAGCTTAAGCTTCCTCTCTGGACAAAAAAAAAAAAAAAATTCTGCATTTTAAAGTTCTTCTAAAAGGTCTTCCTTAGAGGAAATTTTGCTTTGCGTGTGAGTACTCTGTAGAATCCATTTCTGAGAGAAGCTCATAGTAAAGGGATCTCTTTAGCTTGCTCCATGGAGAAGTACCTGTGGCAGGAGGTATTACCACTCTGGGGTGAAGAAGCCCTGGAGCTAGACTACTTGGTTCAAATTGCAGCATTTGTTTATTTACTATGTGACCTTTGGCAAGTTCTTTATCCTCTCTGTGCATCAGTTCTCCCAGTTATAAAATGGGGACACTAGTTGTATCAGTACATATGTAAAGCTCTTATAAAAGGGACAAAGTATAATGTACATGTGACCTATGATTATCTGACAAAAGAAATTATGTTTGTGTGTGTGTATCTTTAGGAAAATAAGATGACATCTTGTTTGCCATTTTTGGAGAGAGGCTAGAACATGGATAATCAGATAATTTGCTATTATAACTTTTACTTGGAGAACCATTTAAAAGTAAAATTTGATACATCATATATTCCTTATAGTAGGCTTAACTCTCACCTTTTTTCTTTCCAGAGAGAGTATCCTCAAAAAAAAAAAAAAAAAAAAAAAAGAGAGAGAGTATCAGGGAGATAGATTTTAAGGACAAAAACATCAAGTGGTGGGACGTAACTGAGGGATGAAAAAACTAATAGAATGGGCACTAGAGTTACTACAAAATGACAGAAGACGGAAATGAAAGTAGGGTTATTTATCTCAAACTTGGAAGCAGGATATATTCAAAAATACAAAAACATCCAGAGGAAAGCAATATTCAGAAACACGTAGCATTACTGTGGTAGGGCAAATGCATCCAACATGGCAGGTTACAAGGAACAGGGAGCAAAGACCCACATTAGGAGCCTGGTCAGAGTTCAGGCACCAAGTATTCCAGAGTAAGAAACTCACAAGCTGGGCATGGTAGTTCCTGCTTGTAGTTTCAACTACTCGGAAAGTAGTGGGAAGATTGCTTGAGCACAAGCTGTTCAAGCCCAGCCTGGGCATCATGAAATTTTGTCTCTTAAAAACAAAAAAATCCACAATTTTCCAAATTAGTGGTGAGGACTCCAGAAATCGATTCCTTACTCCTGCCTCTGCTGAAAATTCTGGAAGCATATATCCCTACCACTGCTGGGTCATTGCCAACTTCAGTCAGGTAACACATATTTATTAAGCACTGCTATAGTTTGGTTTGTTTGACTCCCTCAGAATCTCATGTTGCAATCTGATCCCCAATGTTGGCAGCAGAGCCTAATAGGAGGTGTCTGGGTCATGAGTGCAGATTCTCCATGAAAGGCTTGGTGCTGTCCTCCTAAGTGGTAATGAGTGAACTCTTCCTCTATCAGTTCCCACCAGAAATGGTTAAGGTTCTAAGAGCATGGCACCTCTCCCTTGTGGTCTTCCTTCCTCTCTGCTTCCTGGAAGAGTGGAAGCAGCCCAAGCCTTCACCAGATGGCCATTCTTCCAGCCAGCAGAACTGTGAGCCAAAGAAACCTTTGCTCTTTACAAACTACCTTGCCTCAGGTATTCCTTTTAAGAACACAAAGGACTAAGGCAGGCTCTGTGTCATTAAAAATAATAGCCTTAATGCCTATTATTACCAAAGGTAGCCCGGTCTCTGCTCCTGACCACTTTCTTACCATGGGGAATGGAGGGAAGTATGGGTCTCTAATTTTCTGTAACCAAAGCCCTCCCACCCCGCTACAATTTACATTAGAATTTCACTTTCACAGGTGAAAGTTAAATTATAGGGAAATTAAAGGGAAAATGAAAAACTAAAGATCCACTCCAGAGATAGTAGTCCAACTGAACAACATGGATGATGATTTCAGACTCACCTTTAACCCCAAAGATGACATAAGAATGAGAAATGACACCTCTGTAGCAAAATTACAGAGACCTTTGGGGCTTT